ACTGGCCACCTTGTAAATACTCGTAAACTCTTGATACCTAAGTGGTTCACTTCCACCATTGCCCAACTTCACAAGCGCTTGCACGTCTCATCAGAATAAGACTTGTTAGTTAAGATGAACCGGAAAAAGGAACCAGTGAGAGTGCGTAATGTCCCTTCCAAGCCGAACAGCGCCTAATCTTACAATAGCAATTGTTCTTAATAGATTATTAATGATGCCAACTTTCTAGATCACTATCTTCCACGACAGGCCATTTGACAAGACGTGTTCAGCCATGCCCGCAGGACTGTTTCGGTTCGATAATCTCAGTGACAGGTACGCATAGTCCACACCGGCAGTATGGATGGGGTCGGTCATTAGTTTTGCTTCTAAATGGTATGCTCTTCTCTCAATTACGGTGGAGAGAAAGTGGGCGAGGCGCAGCGATAGGCCCGACTCCGCCCATACGAACAGCCGTAGAAAGCTTAACTGATACTTTTTTAGAAAGGATGCAAAGGCGACTTTCGAGTGGTACGCAGAACTGTGCCGTCAGCAACCTGGCACAGTCACCGGCGTGAAGCTGGTCTCCGGTCATATTCAGTCCGACGACAAGGAAGCGTTGCAGGCTCAGGTGGGAAAAGGGTTATTAAAAATCAAATGAAAATTCAAGCTAGTAGTAAATGACCATGCCATGTGCCTACTGCAATTCCACCACTGCTAGTCCCCTAAGCGGTGTTTCTCTTGGCTTGTCCCAGAAAATTGGTTTTTTTTTAGGAACGTGCCTATGGAGACATTGTCTACAACTTTCGTTATTTGACCGATGAAGAACGGAGAAGTCTGTTCCCAAATCCATCTAGGTATGTCAGTGTGATTTAACGGGACTTCACTAGCTTTGTTTGATTGGTCCAAGTACGGTGAGAGTGCACCTTCTCTTAAAGGCAGTTGGCACGATACGAATAAATTGCCCGCCAAAGGAGTCAAGGATTACATCACGCCTGGCAGGACGAAATTCCGCGCGACCCCGTAAGCAGCGCCCTGCCATTAGCCGCCGCATGCGCCCTTTAAATAGGCCCTACTGAACGCTATCGCAGACATTCCTACCGGGACCCGAACGCCCACCACGCACGCCCGCACCCACAGAATGGGAACGACCGATTCCTGACGCTTCGCTACCTGCTCATTTGCCTAAGTAAATTATGAACGACAGGGTAGCGTAATGAAGGGAGCGCGTGATGCTGCATGGATATATGAGTACACATATGCAGCCGTACTTCGGTAGCGGTTATTGGCAAGATGCCTACGGGAAACTCGTCCAAAATCGATTTCAAGTCATTGAGAACGGAGGCTTTTCTTCGCAGGATTTTGACCGTTTCACTCCGTTCTTTCGCCATTTCCCCACTATATAGCGCCCTACTAGCATTTTAGGCCGAGCAAAATCATCGTGCCAACTGCCTTTAAAGTACTACTATGGAAGATTACTTAATGAAGTTACTGAAGCACCTTGAAAGGTGTCCATGCTGGGCGCATTGGGCGGTCAATCCTACTGTTGTGCTCTTCTCTATGCACGTATCTGATGTTGCTCATCTCCTTTCTGGAGCAGTAAGCAGGAAGGACTCACCTGATAGAGGCACAGCGGAGGGCCTGACTCTGCCCTTACAATCAGCATGGAGTGCGACTTCGAGTAACTTTTAAGCAACGAAGTAAACAATGGCTGCAAACTCACCATTAGTCAATGTTCTATCGAAGAGCACTAAGAGGATGCAACCTCGTTTAAAGGTAATCTAGAATTGCTCAATTCGAGTATCATTTTCTAGGCATGCCATCCATTTTACGTCGTACGCAGCTGAAGGCAATCAATATGTACCTTTTCTGAAGCAGCAGTTACTGAAAGCTGGAGTTACCTTTGTTGAAAGAACTATCAGCAACATCGACGAGGTATATCGAATTTCATAGCGTATGGAACTTTTTCAGGAAGATGGCACTCTTGAAAGCTCTTATAGTCCGACCATGCGCGTGAAATGGCAGCGCGACAGGGACATCTTGTCTGGGTGCTTTATAGATCCTTACTCGTACTTGTGCGGGTGGTGGGTTTCACCCAGATGGAAAACATTTGCGAAAGATCAAAAATTTAGATGAAGTTTCACATGGACTAGAATAAACCTTAATTTAGCTGAAGGGGGAGGGGGAGACTAGCAGTTGGCAGTGAGACTATGTCATGCCCATTTCCTCCTTGTCTCTCAACCAGATCGTATTTATCCCGTGACATTCAACACTTCATTGAGCTTTTGAGATAAAGATCCATCAGGATAAGTATTCAAACGTTCTGGATAGTCGTAGAAAAGAGAGTCGCAAGGGGGTATGAGAGATGGCCGGTGATCTTTGAATATCAGTAAGAAGACCAGAGCATTACGATGCTGGTGAACCTGCGGACAAAAGATATAAAAAGGAGCTAAGCTGCTCATTTTAAGTCTTTTGGGTGGGGTAGGCAATAGCAGCACCCTCACGTCACTACTCGCTAAATATCATCCTCGTATCACCGATAGCGTCTAGCACTCTCTCGCAATCACCGCTCGTATCAGCCAGTAGGAGTGCGCACACTGTTTGAAGCCGTTCTCAGCCTTTTCGTTGAAACGCGTATGCGACAAAAAGTGGTAGAAAACGAGTAATACGAAGGGTATAATACAGTAATGCCACTTTCCCGTTTCAACAACTGGTGCAGAAAGACGATTGGCACCGCGGAAAACGCAGCCGCACTGACCCGCGCCCGACAGTCCGCAATGATGAGGAGAGTAGTTCGCTTCGGACGGCTGGCGCAACCTGTCAGGCAGTATGAGTGTTCACACAGTCGAAGCCGTTCTCTGCCTTCTTGTTGAAGTGCTCATGCGACAACAGTGGTAGAAAACAAGTAATACGAACGGATATCATCAAGTCTTGCTCATTTTCGCTCCCTATTAAACAACGGTGGAAACGGGTGGCCGGGCCACTCGTATGGGCACTGCTCGCACTCACCGTGACTTTGCAGCCTGCCTTACCGAAGTGCGACCTTGATTATTCCGAGCCATTGAACTACAAGCAGCAACTAGCTCGATAGGCGCAAAATGCTTAGTCTACAGCCGTAACCACAGCGCCAGAAACTAATCCTCCAGCGGCCCTACTGCTACGCGGTCCACAATGTCACGAAACTTTTTCAGTTAGCCGAAGAAAGGCTTTGGTGTCATTGTCAACTGTGCAGGATTGAATGCAGGAACATTGGCTGGCGACGACAACGGTGTATATCCAATACGAGGCGTTGCATTCGAGGTATGCACAACCTGGTAAGGCAAGAACACAATATCTGGTTGTGAGGCGTGCGGGTGCGGAGCGGTGAGCCTCGCAGGTCCATCCATCTATGCGTGTCTGTCGCAGGATAGGATCGCATGTGTCGTTGGGATAGTTTGTTTAGGGCTTGCATGAAAACATTGCGGCCACCTAGAGTAGATCGCTTAATTGTCAGCCATTGCAGCCGCGTAGAGCGGGTTAGCTGGGTGCGGGGCAAGATCTGAGTTGTGCCGATGCGCAGACAATATCTCACCATGCTCCACATTTCTTGCCATTTATACGCTGGGGCGTCTCAGGAGGCTGGGCTTCGCGCGGAGCCAGCCTGTTATCCTCAAATCGTTGTCGCATGTCCGCCTCAACAGTTGGTGGAGAACTGACTGGCGCCTCATCAAACCTGGCTATGACACGCCCTACGCTTTGCAGCGAAAACGACTGTAACTCGACTCACCGCAGTACTTTGATGTTAAACCATATAGCTCTCGCTGCGAATGCCGCATAGTGATGAACTTTCGCCGTGTCGCCAAAACTAGGGACACCTTTTCAATACCCATTGGCCGCTGTTGCGCTGCTTTTGGTATCTAAACCTAAGCAACGGAAAATTGAAGCGGTCGAGCCTAGTTTCATTTTTTCGTTTTCAGGTCGAAGCCCCTTGGCACAAACACTTCAACTACCGTGACTTCTCCACGTTCACTATTCCAAAGTGAGTTCGTTCTAGTCCTCTAAATACTTCGACTCGTTTAATTAGCCAATATAACAAATATAAAAAATATAACCAATCTTGAAGGCTTGTTCCATTATTATATGGATAACATAGTCAGAACCGCT